ACTACACTTACTACACCAAACTACACCAAACTACACCAGCATTCACTAACTAGACTTAGTACACCAAACTACACCTACTACACCAGCATTCACCAACTACACTTACTACACCAAACTACACCTACTACACCAGCATTCACTAACTACACTTACTACACCAAACTACACCCACTACACCAGCATTCACTAACTACACTTACTGCACCAAACTACACCTACTACTCCAGCATTCACCAAATACACACAGGACGAAATCACATGTTTCCGTATTTCTGAAACGTGGAGGAAACATGCAACTCCATGTTTCCGTTATGTTTACGTAAAAGTGGTCCGGTTCCGTTGTATAGGCAGCAACGGAAACGCGAGAAAACGTCACGAAACCGGTAACGGAAACACAGGTTATCCGTCGTGTTTCCGGAACGGTTTAACATGTTTCTGCCACGTTTCCGTTTACGGATTCTTACAATTTCGTCCTGTGACACTAACTACACCAAACTACACCTACTACACCAGCATTCACTAACTACACTTACTACACCAAACTACACCTACTACACCAGCATTCACCAACTACACTTACTACACCAAACTAAACCTACTAAACCAGCATTCACCAACTACACTTACTACACCAAACTACACCAAACTACACCAGTATTCACCAACTACACTTACTACACCAAACTACACCAAACTACACCAGCATTCACTAACTAGACTTAGTACACCAAACTACACCTACTACACCAGCATTCACCAACTACACTTACTACACCAAACTACACCTACTACACCAGCATTCACTAACTACACTTACTACACCAAACTACACCTACTACACCAGCATTCACCAACTACACTTACTACACCAAACTACACCTACTACACCAGCATTCACTAACTAAACGTACTACACCAAACTACACCTACTACACCAGCATTCACTAACTACACTTACTACACCAAACTACACCTACTACACCAGCATTTACCAAATACACTTACTACACCAAACTACACCTACTACACCAGCATTTACCAAATACACTTACTACACCAAACTACACCTACTTCACCAGCATTCACTATCTACACTTACTACACCAAACTACACCTACTACACCAGCATTCACCAACTACACTTACTACCCCAAACTACACCAAACTACACCTACTACACCAGCATTCACTAACTAGACTTACTACACCAAACTTCACCTACTACTCCAGCATTCACTAACTACACTTACTACACCAAACAACACCTACTACACCAGCATTCACCAACTACACTTACTACACCTACTACACCAGCATTCACCAACTACACTTACTACACCAAACTACACCAAACTACACCAGCATTTACCAAATACACTTACTACACCAAACTACACCTACTACACCAGCATTTACCAAATACACTTACTACACCAAACTACACCTACTACACCAGCATTCACCAACTACACTTACTACACCAAACTACACCTACTACACCAGCATTCACCAACTACACTTACTACACCAAACTACACCTACTACACCAGCATTCACTGACTACACTTACTACACCAAACTACACCAAACTACACCTATTACACCAGCATTCACCAACTACACTTACTACACCAAACTACACCCAGCACATCTACTTCGGTGTCAAATCGAAGGAAGACTGTTAAAAGAAACATGGCCTGAGTCTACCTGCTCGCAGTTCATAACTTATCCAATATACACCGCCGCATATACAAAATAAGTGTGGTACCCACGCAAGTTTTCCTGAACATAGAATTTGTATTCATCTGCCATTTTATAGTTTGATTTGTGCAGAAAGTAGACTTTTCCCACGAGAAATTCAGGATGGAAGCTTCACTTTCCTTCACTCGAAATGACTTCTAGAAAATTTTCAAGACAACAGAAAACCGATGTACAGCAAAACAGTCATTGTCTCTAAGACAATAGACGAACAAGGTATTATGGGCCACATTACTTTTAAATGAAACACTGCGACAGGTCGTTCAAAGGTCAGCCATATCTGGACAGCCATGTACAATTCAAGCACCCGGCCTCTGCCGCACAGAACTCGAACAGCATCAGCTCAGCACCTAGAAATACATTGACTATGTTTGTAAACATCAACAACTACTCAGGCGAAACAAACATGCAGAAAATGGCTGAGAGTCAACAGCTTGAGGAGGTGCCACATGAATCGGCCGGTGTTGCGAAAGGTCAAACTCAGAGGCGAGGCAACAATCGAAGGGGAAGCAACGAACAAAAGTCATACACCGTTGATTTCATAAAGAAAACACTAATCGGACGCTAAAACGGAAGAAAAATTCTTGCAGAACTGACTCTGAACAGGACAAAGAAGAACACAGGTGGTGCAAGGCCAATGAGACAAAAGAGGTTTGGTTGGAACAGATCCCAACGCACTGATAAATATCCTCTGACTTCCAATCTTTTACTCGCCGAGTTTAAACTACGGACATCAGCAGGAAGCAAAGTGTCCAAACCTTGGTTCAAAAAAAAAATAAAATCGAAAATCGAAGCAAGCCAAGCTAAATTTAAAGGAAGCAGCAACTGGCTCCAGAGATTCAAGGAAAGACACAGCATAGTACTAGACACAACACAGAGAAGAAGGACCAACAAGTAAAAAGTTTGGGCAGATGATGGCCGAGATACGATCCAGAAATTCCACAGGGATTTGAGGAAAGCCTTGAAAACACAAAGGAGAAGAAACAAGTGCTATACAGTTGACCCAAAGTATGGAAGATGGATACCTAAAAATAGATACAATGTAATATAACCCATTATGTAATAGGCTCAGTTATGCACGCATTCTGATTGGTTCTCACTTATGATCTATTGGAGGACAGAAGTATAGATGACGTCATCATTAAAACTTTTTTAATTCTTTAGTATATAAAACAAATAGATTCCAAATTGCCGTGCGTCTGTTCAGTAATAGATCACAGAGAACGTCAAAATGTGGTAAGAACAAAAATATGGCACACGAGGCGCAGCCGAGTGTGTCACTGATGTTCTGTATTCATCTCTCAAGGAATCTATTTGTTAAATAGACTGGGGAGGCGTGGAGTGAGTTAAGTAATGATGAGACATTTTTTCAGAGAGATTGTGTGAGAAAACTGGCTGTTTGCGAAAAGCAGATGGCTCCAATGATGTAAAGATCTCACCACAAGGTTAGGAAGATTATCAGATTTAAATGGATCTGATAATTGGACTGGAAATGTAAGAAACTGAATTCTGACATTTTGCTCTCTCAGTTCTCTCTCAGTTTGCTTGTAAGATTAGGGACCAGTCAATAGTTACATGGAAAGAGGGAGGGGGGAGGGCTGGTGCATTTTGAATTTGCTTGACTTTTGCTGAGTTTCGAGTCGTTTATCGCCAGAACTGCTACCCCTCCCCCAATGTAATATTATTGCCTTGATTGATGCAGTTAAGGTTAGTTCCATCCATGAATTAACGTAAAAGTTGTGCTTACATGCTGATTTCATCTGTTGGTAGTCTATGCAGTATTTAATTTTTAAAAACAATTTTAAGAACACCTTAAGAACATTTTCAGGTTGGTTTTGCAGCAAACACCCAATGTATAAAGACAAAATCAGCCTGAACCCCCAAAACACTTGTTCTTTTAAGCGAGTTTTCACTGTGTTGTCAGAGACAAAAGTAACTATGACAATTTCTCACTAGTATCATAACTTTTATTTTTTTGTGTATGTGTTTTATGAAGGATTTACAGCTGTTTTTACAAATCTTGGTAAGAGTGGAACAAAGGGTCCAGACTCAGTTGGCAGTCACTACACAGGTCAGGATCATGACGGACAAGTTACAGTGTCCAGCGGTATTCAACTGTGGACTGTGCCACACACTGGTGAATACAGAATAGAAACAATAGGAGCCTCAGGGGGGTACAGTAAGGACAGTGTCATCAACGGAGGGAGAGGGGCGCGGATGATTGGAAACTTTATGTTGACCAAAGGTGATAACATTAGTATACTTGTTGGTCAAAGAGGGCAAAAAGCGTATTCTAACAAAAAAACTGGCTCAGGCGGAGGAGGTACATTTGTAGTAAGAGGAGACAACAAGCCTTTGATCATAGCCGGAGGTGGAGGAGGAGTTGCAAATATGACAGAACAATATTCAGGATGTGATGCGTCCATAAACACAACAGGGAATGCAGGGTATAACTCGCCATTCCTGTCAGGAGGAATGAACGGATATGGAGGACAAACTGATGAACCGAACTCTGGTAGGTGAACAATTTTCTATTTATAAATACTGAATTTTTTTTTTTTTAATTTTGTTTTTGTTTTTTTTCACATTCTACTGCCATCCATCAATATTTCGAACAAAGAGGTGGTACTGGTCGCTTAAATTTGAATTTTTTTGAGAATTACTAAAAGCCATGATCTTTTCAGTAGCTAATGTCAACTGTAAATCTCTTGATTTTAGGTGGTGGCGGTGGCGGTGGCGGTGGCGGTGGCGGTGGCGGTGGCGGTGGCGGTGGCGGTGGCTTCTACAGTGATGGAGAAAACACAGATATTTCTAAGAGAGGGGGAAAGGGAGGTAAAGGATTTGTAGCCAAGGGAAAGGGATTGGGGGGAGCATATCGGGGTGGGTTTGGAGGTGGGGGTGGTTATAGTCTAGATAGTGAGTTACCTGGGGGAGGTGGAGGGTACTCTGGGGGAAGTGGAGGTGCGAATAAAAATATTTCCTGTGGTGGAGGGGGAGGTTCTTTCAACAACGGAACAAATCAGCAAAATGAATGTTGTTATAATACTGCTGGACATGGTAGTGTGATCATAACGCTTCTCCATTGAAATACATGGCAGCACTTTTCTTAGCGTCTAGTGGTTATTCTGTTTTGAAGCGCTAATTGATGTCTGTTTTTAAACTCAATAGTTTAACTTTTTTGGATCATTATTTAGATTTTGTTATTAAGCCGTGTTACTGTAAGACAAACAGTGCAACATGTGGTTCTAGAGGTGTTTATATTTGAGGTTAGAATTAAAATTCACAAACAAAATTTGCTAGAACAGATGAGTTTGTGAATTTTTACTGACCTTACAAATTTTTTGACAGCAAAAGCTGTAATATTTGTTCTTTTTCCGGCTCTTTTCGGAGCAAATAATCAGATGTTTTTGACTGTTCATACAGTTCTGTATTCATCTCTCAAGTTCAGTGGACTCAAACAAGTCTTTACTTTAAGCGTTTTAAGCAAGGTTTAGAGCGTGCGACCAATTAAAAGTTTTTTGGCTGTGGACAAAGTTGCTTATCTATTGTAAAAAATCTAAAATCAATGCAAAAACCCGTTGCACTTCAAAGCATAGTGGCTTCTCAACATCTACATGCAAAGATAAGATACCAAAGAACACTGGCATTCATTACTAATAGAGAAGCTATTTCAGCGAAATTACTGTATGATGAGCATAGCTTTTTAGCGCCTAATACTCCCAGAGGTTCACTCTCAAAGGTTCACCCCAGAGGTTCACTCCCAGGTGTTCACTCCCAGGTGTTCACTCCCAGGTGTTCACTCCCAGATGTTCATTCCCAGATGTTCACTCCCAGAGGTTCACTCCCAGAGGTTCACTCCCAGAGGTTCACTCCCAGAGGTTCACTCCCAGAGGTTCACTCCCAGAGGTTCACTCCCAGAGGTTCACTCCCAGAGGTTCACTCCCAGAGGTTCACTCCCAGAGGTTCAGGGGAAACTTTATGGTGATGAAACCATTTTTGTCAGCGTAATGTTTTCTTAGGCTTAGAGCTTACTCCCAGAGGTTCACTCTCAAAGGTTCACCCCAGAGGTTCACTCCTAGAGATTCACTTCCAGAGGTTCACTCCCAGAGGTTCACTCCCATGGGTTCACTCCCAGGTGTTCACTCCCAGGTGTTCATTCCCAGATGTTCACTCCCAGATGTTCACTCCCAGAGGTTCACTCCCAGAGGTTCACTCCCAGAGGTTCACTCCCAGAGGTTCACTCCCAGAGGTTCACTCCCAGAGGTTCAGGGGAAACTTTATGGTGATGAAACCACTTTTTTCAGCGTAATGTTTTCTTAGGCTTAGAGCTTAGAGCAAGGCCCGTGGTCACATGCAAACGAGGGAAGGTAGGAGGGGGGATGGGGGAGAATTAAACATGGCTCGTATGTCCTTAGTTGTATGATGAATGAATATGTAGGTGATAAAAAACAGTGAACAACAAATTATCCCACGTCTTTTTTCACTCAAATTCTTGCGCGTTAAAAGCATACAATGTTATGGTGAGGCAAGATTATAGTTCATAATATCTAGGGGACAATGTCAGCCACAAATTGCTTTCGCTTATAGAATAAAGAAGGAGCAAATGCCAGGAATGTTTAGACTTTAAGTAGCGTGCTCTTTCACTCAAAGTGGAGTAAAGCACTGTAATTTTCATGTTGGAAAGAACGATTCTGCTTATAATCGATAGAAATATATTGAGAACATTCGTTGCTGGTGGATTGACTAAAAGTTCCCAAGAATTGTTTCTAGGAGTTACAGAAGAGCAATCACTTTCCTATATTGTAGGTCTATAGTGTAGATTTTAAGGTAAACTCTGGTGAAACTCAATAAATTGATATCTGGCTGTCGGTATTTTCTACACGTTTGTTAGTTGAACCTAAATTAGTAAGTCACACCGACTGAGAGCAAGGCTAATTTGTAAACGAACGAAAAAATAACCATGTATCTTACAGGAAAGTTCCTGAATCCCACAACTTCACTTATCATTTTAACTCGTCTTTGATGCTTTTTCGCAGCACACGAAACCAGCCTTGACTAAAGGTCTTTGCAGGGTAATTGAAAATTGTATGATGCATAAATATTTAGGTGATGGAAAACAGTGAACAACAAATTATTACTGTGACAGCCTTGTATAGCTGGACATTCCTAAAGACGGCTACAAAAAGCGATGCGAATTGTTTGAGGATTTCCAACTCAGTTTCTGATTGGACTTCTGATTGAGCAATCGGAAGATATTAAATCTTGAACTTGAACTTTATTTTTATTTAGACACGGTAAATCTATCAGATAAAATAATAATATTATTACAATCTATTATTACAGTTACAATCTATTTTAATCTATATAAACATGATCTAAAATTTAAAAGTAAAATAGAAAAAAAAAAAAAAATAAGGAAATTCTGCTTTACATAGATGCCGTGTGTGTTTTGTCGATTCAGAGGAAGAAATTGCGACAACCATTTCGGAAGGATTGAAGTGATTTTGCTTGCCGCAATTCAGGGGACAAGCTATTCCATATAACCGCACCGTTATAGCTAAAGCTATTTTTTAGGAAATTGGTGCGAGGCAATGGAACAGCTAGTTTGTTTTCAGAGTTCCTTAGATTATATGGAGGATCATATTTAGTGAAAAGAGAACCAAGATAGTCGGGCGCAAGACCATGTATAGATTTATAGACCATGGTGGCCACTTGTATTTGTCGCTGAGTATCTAACCGTCT